CTTCCTTCCTTCCTTCCTTCCTTCCTTCCTTCCTTCCTTCCTTCCTTCCTTCCTTCCTTCCTTTCTTTCTTTTTTCTTTTTCTTTTGTCAGGCTTAAACTCTGAGCCTGGGTCCTGTTCCTCAGCTCTTAAGCTCAAGGCTAGTGCTCTACTACTAGAGCCATGGTGCCACTTGCAGCTTTTTCTGCTTATGTGGTGCTGAGGAAACAAATCCAGGGCCTCATGCATGCAAGGCAAGCACTTTACCACTGAGCCACCTTCCCAGCCCTGTTTATGTGGTTTATAGCCTAAGTTTGAGTTAGCCTTCCCCTCCCCCCAAAGGACTTGAGGTGCATCATAGGTGATTTTTCAATTTTTCTTCTAATTTTGGCTGGATGTCTGTATTGATGATAGGGGTATACCTGCTGTTGCTTTCTTTCTATTTCAATTTGCTTGGAAAACCTTTTTCCAGATAATGATTGATTTTTTTGAAGGAAATAAAGGAGTTGGTTTTATTTCTAATTGATTGAACCTAAATGTACTAGAAAAATTTTGAAATGTAGGATTAATTTGAGAATGTATGACATGAATATATACTTTTAGTTATACCTTACAACCACAGAAAACTACTGGTATCGTGAACATCTGATTATAGATCTCATTACCTAATTGTGTCCATTTAAAAGAAAAGTGGTTAATCCAAACTGGGTTTTTTTTCTTTCTTTTTTCTTTTTAGATCTGAGACTGGGACATGAGCTCAGTATCTGCTACCTTTCTCATTGGCTAGAGTCATGCCTCCAATCCCTCCCTTGTTTGTTTTTTTATTGTGCTCATTATGCACCAGTCTGGTTAATTTTTTTCCTTTACAAAGCTCTTTTTCTGAAATTTTTCTTTTAACTTTTGCATATTAGTCAAGTTGTATCTAAAGAATATTTTTCTGAGCCAGGTGCCAGTGACTAATCCTTAGCTACTCAGGAGGCTGTGATCTGAGGACTGCTATTCGAAGCCAGCCCAAATGAGACTCTTATGATAAGTTAACTACCAAAAAAGCCAGAGGGAGCTGTGACTCAAATGGTAGAGCACTAGCCTTGAGCAAAAAAGTTTAGAGATGGGCTGGGGAATGTGGCTTCGTGATAGATTGCTTGCCTAGCATGCATGAAGCACTAATTTTTATTCCTTCCAAATAAATAGGAAGAGCCAGAAGTGGCACTGTGACTCATGTGGTAGAACACTAGCCTTGAGCAATTAAGAAGCTTAGGCTTCTTCTGCCCAAGTTCTGAATTCAAGCCCCAGGACTGACTAAAAAGAAGTTCAAGGATAGCACCTAGGTCCTGAATTGAAGCCCTAGGAAAGATACCAAAAAAAGGAGAGGGGGAGAGGATTTTTCTTTTCTTTTTTTTTCCCTTTATTTTTTTGTGTGTACAGAGAATATAGTACTTGAAGATTGGTGATGTCTTGGTGATAAGGGAACATGAAAACTTTTTAACAATATGGGAAGTTCATCAAATAGTTTTATTAGTTTGATACTACTAAGTACATAAGCTTGTCCTTCAACTATTTTAATTTTTTTTTCAGGTAAGCTTTTGGGTTGTGAGAGAGATTCTTCATGCTCAAACATTAAAAATTAGAGCAGAAGTTTTGAGCCATTATATTAAAACTGCTAAGGTAAGCAAAACACTTTATAGTTCAACTCAAAATATTTTCAGTGACTATTTGCTTGTGATATTTTATTACTCCTAATTTTGATACTGGAAAATAAGGCTTATTTACTGAGTAAGCCTCAAACTTTCTATCTCCCTGTTTAAGCCTCTTGAATGCTAGGGTTAAAGACATGTGCCACCATAAGCAGCTTCAGTTTTTGTTTTCTTTTTAATTGAAAGCCTATTTTCTCTTCCTTTTCCTGTATTTCTCTTAATTACCTCTTTTATCTCCTTCCTCCTTCTTTCTGAGTCACTAAATTATAGTATATGACACATCTAGATAATAGACTATTCTGAAAACCATATATAGGATTAAGTAATAAAATACACAGCACGTCTTTGTTTGCTTGCTTCTTAAATAGATCACCCCATATACTGAAAAATATACTTAATATTTCTAAAAGAATTGTATATGTGATGTTTACAACTATGTAAATAGAGAAGTTACTGTGTGACCTAGATAAAAGTATAGAAAAAAAACAGTTTGGATTTCAAGGATAATCAGCATTTAGAGAAAATTGTGAAACAGTACAGTCTACAAAAAGACAACTAAGATAAATCTGTAACAACTCCAAATTCGTAAGTTCACTAAAAAGTATTGTAATCATAGCCACATTCATCTGTTAGGATTCTTGTAACATATAACTTCACTTGTGAATGAAAAATAGTAAAGTGAACAAACCAGGCTTACAATAGTTTTATGTTGCATTTTCTTTCATCATATAAAACCAGGTATATTCTAACATTTTGTAGCACTAGATGGCAGAATTAGCTTATACAAATAGATACTTTGCAGAAGTATCATAAAAAGTGTTTTTTTATTGTGAAAATACTGTACAGAGGGGTTACAACAGAGGGGTTACAATTACATGGGCAAGATAATGAGTACATTTCTTACCAAGCATTATAGCCTCCCCCTTTGTTTCCCCTTCCCATCCCTTCCTATCCTCCCCCCCCACCCCTCCCCACCACCCAATCCTCCCCGCTATCCCCCCAACTCCCCCACACACCAAAGCTGTCATAAAAAGCTTTGAAACATTCTCTGTGACACTTTAGATACTGGGTTTTTAGCTAATTGAAATCAATTACATTTCTCATCAACTCTGAATTTCTGTTACTGTTTTCTAATATTTTTGGTAGTTAAAAAATACTTCTGAGTTTTAGCCCTCTTTCTCATCATATCACTTCATTCCTATTCAGACTTCTAGTATATAATGGCAAATTTCAAAATTATTTTTTCCTGCCTGTTAATTATCTCTATTCTGTATTCGCTTTGTTATAAAGATAGCTATTATATTCCTTCCTTTAAAAGATTATTCCACAGACAGAATCAGTAGCATTGTGTATCAACACCTGTAAAGAGATAAGAGCAGTAGGACCAAATTATCATTGGTGATAGTTGCTGAAAATGAAAACTCTTGGAGGAGTTGAGGCAGTAGTATCAAAGCAGAATTTTTTTCTTTATACTTCTTTTCATTTTTGGCATATATAGAGTATAAAATGTATTTAGTTCATTATAAATGTTTAACATTTATTTGTTGAGTGAATTTTCCCAACTAGACGATATAACTTTCCTATGTAAAGATTTATATACTGTTTTATACTTATTATTGTGTGTTTATTTGCTTTCTTTGGGTTTTCAATTAAGTGTGCCACTCTTAGCATTTTTTTTTTGCCTCAAACTTTTCTAGTAACATAGTTGGAATATTTAAAAAATAACTGATTTTTTTTAGGACAGTACCTTTGTGATATAAATATCATTTAGTATGACAAATCTGGAAATTAGCAATAGTAAATGTTGAGTGGATTTCTTGGAAAACTAATGGAGTATAGTCTTAGATAAGCGTTTCCTGGATCAGAGTATAAAAATAATATCTCAGAATGAATGAGAAACATTCAGTCAGGAAGAAGCATGAGTTCTATGAAGAGGTTTTGAACTCCATACTTAGAAAGATAGGAGTCTTAGGCAGGAGACCAGATGAGTATTCTAAAGAAACCCTTTCTTTAAACTGTAACATAAGCTTAGAAATATGACAGTATAAAAAAAGTTTGGTTAGAGGTAAATGAGAGAATACTTAAAAAAAAGAACAACAACAACAACAAAAATTCCAGTTAGAGATAAATTTATTTCCCTGAGCTGGAGAACATCAAAGTAGATATGGAAGTTTTATTGGGGGAGCCCACTTTACTTTAAACATAGTAGGTACTCTAAATGACAGATCTGAACAATGAAGGTAATAAATATATATGGAATATTACCAATTTCCTAAATTGCATGTTATCTATATTTTTCTTATACCCATTAAAATTTTTTTTCCTTCTCCCCTTTTCTTAAATCTTTAGAAGTTGTATGAGCTTAATAACCTTCACGCACTCATGGCAGTGGTTTCTGGCTTACAGAGTGCCCCGATTTTCAGGTTGACTAAAACATGGGCGGTGAGTAATCTTCCTTAGTTAATCAAAGTTAGGCTTCTGGTAAGAAGTAAAGCAATATTAGTTCTTTTGCACTTACTAAGACTAATGTTATTACAATAGATGAGAATTTAAAAATTATTATGTACTTAGTTCTCTCCTTAAACATTCTATCCGCTTTGCCATGTAATTTATGAGTAGAATCGTTTATAGCTTGTTTAGTTTTGGGTTTTTTTTTTTGTAACCTCTAAGCATTTTTTACAGTTTTTATCTCATGGGGAAGTATGAATGTTAAAAAGTTACATTTAATCAAGATTGTGCATTTAGTAAGATTGCATAACTAAACTGGGCTTTCAGAAATTTTCCTGATGTCATTACTTTTTTTTAGTTTTAAAAATAATGGAAGAGGGACTGGGAAGGTAGCTGAGTGGTAGAGTGCTTTCCTTGCATGCATGAGGCCTTGGGTTCGATTCCTCAGCACCACATAAGCAAAAAGAAAAAAGCCAGAAGTGGTGCTGTGGCTCAAGTGGTAGAGCACTAGCCTTGAGCTGAAGAGCTGAGGGATAGCGCCCAGGCCAAGTTCGGGCCCCACGACCGACCAAAAAAAAAAGAAAAAAGAAAGAGGAAGATCTGTAGTAAATAAGGAATTATGTGATGTTGCTGTATATTCTGATATTAACATATTTCAGTGTATTACTTTGACAAGAAAGATAAAAATTTTGACACATACAAATGTTTAAATATTTAATGAACATTTTGACACTCATGTTTGAGTGACATGATACTGTACACAGTCTTTCAGGTATTTTTAAATTTAGATTACACAGGTAAAACTTCATAGACTCAGCTAAATTTGTTTGTATTTAATACTTTAAAGCTGGGCACCAGTGGCTCACACCTGTAATCCTAGCTACTGAGGAGGCTGAGATCTGAGGATTGCGGTTCAAAGCCAGCCCAGGCAGGAAAGTCCATGAGACTTTCCAGTTAATCATAAGAAAACCGGAAGTGGCGCTGTGGCTTAAGTGGTAGAGCTCTTGCCTTTAGCTGATAGAGCTGAGGGACATCATCCAGGCCCAGAGTTCAAGCTTACAACTGACTGAAAAAAAAAAAAAAAGGAAATTCTAAATGTAAAGTTGTTCTCAGTAGAAACAGAGTAAAAGGGTAGTTTGTAGGGGTTTGGAGAAGCTGGGAGGTGTACAGTAGGTACAAAATTTCATTATGTGTAATGGATGTTATTGAAATTTAATAGATAACATGATTATAGTTAATAATTTTATATTTATACATAAAATTTGCTGAAAGAATATATCTGAAATGTTCCTACTGATCCATACACACAAATTGTAATTGTGAAATGATGGCATTATTAATTATATGTATATATCAAAACCCATTGTATGCCTTAAATATATGCAATTTTAACTTGTCATTTATGTCCTAGTAATGCTTGGAGGAAAGATCAATTATAAAATTTATATTGAAATGTACAGTTTTAAGAATAGTCAAGACATCCTGAAGAAGAAAACAGGAATGAGGACATGAGTACTTGCCTGTACAGATATTAAAACTATTGTATACCTTGAATAGATTTAGCTATATCTATCAACAAAGCCAAATATACTCATCAACAAGAAATGTACTCATTATCTTAATGTATATAACTGTAATCCCTCTGTACATGTCCTTGACAATAACATTAAATTAAAAAAAAATCAAATATAGACCTAGAAGTAGAAAATTTTTTCTTTATAACTCTGAAATATGGCAATGGAACTAGTATAAACTGGTGAAGAAATGAGTGGCCATTTATTTATTGGAGCTTCAAAATAGGTTATTAGTTTGGAGAAAAGTAAATTGAGCCCATATGCCATTTACAGAAATGACTATCAGATTAATTCAAGACTTAAATGCAAAATGAAAAATCAGAGTTGTTAGAAGGAAAAATAAGAATGACTATTTGGTATGGCACAAATGGATCTCTTGCTTGGTATATGTAGGGATTTTTTTTAGATAAGATGCTAAAAGTTTAGATAAGATGCTAAAATGAGAGTAAAGATGATGTGTTGGTGTATGTCAAACTATATCAAACCAGTTTTGCAATATTAAAGACTTTCTATCAAAAGATACTTGAAAACCAGGTGTTGGTGGTTCACACCTGTAATCTTAAATATTCAGGAGGCTGAAATCTAAGGATCGTTGTTGGAAGCTAGCCCTGGCAGAAAACTTCTGTGAGACTCTAACACAGGAGGTATGACTCAACTGGTAGATCATTAGCTTTGAGTGAAAATGCCAAGAGAACTTGAGGCCCAGAAAATTAAAAAAGAAAAACAATTGAAAAAACAAAGCAAAAGAAATCAGAAGTGGCACTGTGGCTCAAGTGGTAGAGCACTAGCCTTGAGTACAGAAAGGCTCAAGGACAGTGTACAGCCCTGAGTTCAAGCTCCAGGACTGGCCAAAAAAAAAAAAAAATCAGAAAAAATTTTAGATAATCGCAGTAAAGATGTTTTACAGGTGAAATAATGTGTAAGCAATGGAAATGAGTGAACTATAGCTATTTAGAACTTCATGGGTAAAACTTTAGAATATCAAAATGTTAAGTACACAAAACAGTTACCAGGCTAAGGCTATAACTCAATGCTAGAATGTGCACTTACCATGCTTCAGCCTGTGGATTCCCAACACTACCAAAATGAAAAAACAAAAACAAAAAACCAAAATGAAAAAAAAAACAGCAAACATTTGTCAGGATTGGAGACATGGCTCAGTAGAGTGATAGCCATAGAGCAAAAGTATGAGAAGAAGCTGGGTGCTGGTGGCTCACGCCTGTAATCCTAGCTACTCAGGAGGCTGAGATCTGAGGATCATGGTCCAAAGACAGCCTGGGAAGGAAAGTCCATGAGACTCTTATCTCCAATAAACCACCAGAAAACCAGAAGTGGCTCAGTGGCTCAAGTGGTAGAACGCTGGCCTTGAGCTACAGAACCGAGGGACAGCACCCAGGCCCAGAGTTCAAGCCCCATGACCACCCCCCCCAAATCAGAAGACTATAAATAATGCTCTTCAGATAAATAAAACCCAAAGAAATGACAAACCCCAAATTTAGGATAGTGGTTACTGCTTATTTCTTAAAGACAGAAAGGGAATTAGATATGGAAGGATAAAAGGTTTGTTATTGATACGAGGTTCTTAGATTAGGAGGTAATTCATTTATATTAGTTACAAAGTTGAAAATTAACCAATTTAATATAGTCATAGCAGGGACAGATAATTGTCACGATGTAAAGAATCACCAGTCTGTACCTTAGGTATATAATAAGTAAATGTTTGCTTAGGCAAATGAATGCATTTGCATATACCATTGGAAATGCATATCAAAAATGAGTAGTCTGAGAATTTTGCGTTTTCAGTGGTGACTTTCAAGTTCGTGAAGCAGTGTAGAACTAGCCAGGAACATGTGGAAATCTGTGGAGGAGTCTTCCTTCATTAATACCAATAAAGCGTTTTGAGCTTTGCCCAAAGTTTTATACTCTGAGCTACAAGCATTTTGGGACTCTGGTCCCAAAATTGTGGAGTTAGAACATTATGAAGCACATATTCTTTCTTTTTCTAAAATGTAAAGATAATACTAACAGTAGAAAAAGATTTGAAAAAAAACAATAATCCTCAACTTTCTGCTGTCACAAAGGGAAATAACCTATAATGGACAGCTAATTAGTTCTTTATATCTGTGTACTTATTATAAATAATCCTCCCACATCTCAAAATGGATTTTATTAATCTAGTTGTTCTTTATGGAAATTATAAAATATAAATTGCATATATATTAGACCATGTAGTTCTTTTACATGCCAGGAAAAGTTAAGAGGGCCAAGAAATTAGTTTCTTTCTCTCTCTCTCTTTCTTTTTTTGTTGGTCATGGGGCCTGAACTCTGGCCCTGGGCACTGTCCCTCAGCTCTTCAGCTCAAGGTTAGTGCTCTACCACTTGAACCACAGAGCCACTTCGGTTTGTTTTGGCTTATGTGGTGCTGAGGAATGGAACCCAGGGCCTCATGCATGCAAGGCAAGCACTCTATCACTGAGCCACCTGCCCAGCCCCTAAATTTTTTTTTATTGTTATTATAAAGGTGATATACAGATGGGTCACAGTTCCGTAAGTTAGGTAATGAGTGTAGTTTCTCTTTTAACAGCAGGTTTTTCTGTTTGTGTTTTAGCTCTTAAGTCGAAAAGACAAAGCTACCTTTGAAAAATTAGAATATGTAATGAGTAAAGAAGATAACTACAAAAGACTCAGAGACTATATAAGTAGCTTAAAGATGACACCTTGCATTCCCTATTTAGGTGAGTTAATGTCACTGTGTGTTTTTTATATCACTGTGTTGCTCTTTATTAATCAGTAATTTGTATGAAACTCAGTTATAAATATATGTATTCTTTTTTTAAATTTTTTTAATTTTTATTTTTTGTCAGTTGTGGGGTTTGAACTCTGGGCTTGGGCACTGTCCTTGCACTCTTCAACTCAAGGCGAGCACTCTACCACTTGAGCCACAGTGCCACTTCTGGTTTTCTAGTGGTTTATTGGAGATAAGAGTCTCACGGACTTTCCTGCCCGGGCTGGCTTTGAACCTCATTCCTTGGATCTCAGCCTCCTGAGTAGCTAGGATTACAAGCGTGAGCCACTGGCGCCTGGCTTAAATATATGTATTCTTAAGTCACTGCAAGGTTTCTAAGCTGAAGAATTAGCAGTTTTTACCTTAATATTTGAGATGTACTTTAATATGAATTAGCCTTTTGCCATTCAGGTTTTTCTTAAACTTAGGTTTACTTAGCAGTGAGCTATCTTTTAAAATGACAGTGTTTCAGCCATTTTGGTAAGGCTTTTAAGGAATGGAAGAGTAGGTTGCAATGAAGTTTAATACATTAGCTGAAGACATTGATCAAAGTTCTTTTGTAGTTGGCAGATGTTTTAATATGAATTTTGAAGAGTAGTTCAAATGGATGTTGATGGAATTGTTTGCCTGGTTGACATAAATTATTTAACTGTGGAGATTTAGTACTAAGACAATTCTATATTTTATATATAATTTGGCTAAGGATTTACCACCTTATTCTATACCTTATAGCATTTATAAATGTCAAGAATGATTTAACCAATAATGTATTATTATTTTCAGCAAAATATGAATAATTTTTAGGTATTTAAATGAAAAGAAACCCCAAATGAACTGTTCATTATATTTAATAATTTATATCTTCTAGAAAAACAAGAATTTTTTTAATTAGCTTAGAAAATGACAAATCCTAATGCTATGATATCTAACTCGGAGATCTTTTCTTTTTATTGTTCAGCTTGGTATAGATCTTAAGTTCTCTGTATGTGTTTGTGTAAATAGTCAGAGAGAAAGAATGGGAGGGAACCACTAGCAAAGTTGTTTAGTGGAATCTGGAACGGTTTTCTGTTAATGTCTATATTTTCTCTTTGGCAGTTGTGGAAGAAACATGGTTCCTCTTTTGAGTTAAAGTAGATGAGGCAAACATTGAGAGGTAGCTGTTAATTTGGAGAAAGTATTAGATCTTCATTTTGATTTCTAATGACTTTATTTCAGTTCTCTTTGTCCACATGACTTAGAATCTTATTCTTCACTGTCTTCACATATTTTACTTGGTACCCTGTTCTCTCTTTTTTGCTCAGCATGCTATTACCTCATTCTCTGCTCAAAAGAAATTTGGTCCCCACTGACCTCATAGCTCTCAAACTTCATCTTAATTTGGTGATTAAGGTGTTAGTACCAGTACCAGTATCTCTTGGGCATACCGTCTGCACTGGCTTTTGTTTTATTGCTCCTCTATCTCTGCCTTTCTCTTAAATATATTCTTTTTTTTTTTTTTTTTTGTCGGTTGTAGGATCTGAACTCTGGGCTTGTGTGCTGTCCCTCAGCTCTTCAGCTCAAGACAAGCACTCTACCACTTGAGCCACAATGCTACTTCCAGTTTTCTGGTGGTTTATTGGAGATAAGAGTTTCATAGACTTTCCTGCCTGGGGCTGGCTTTAAACCATGATCCTCAGATCTCAGCATTCTGAGTAGTTATGCCTGGCCTCTTAAACGTATTCTTAAGAAGGCATTTGTCTACTTTAAAAAAAATCTCAGTGGAGTAGTCTCTTTCAGGTTTTTCTAACCTGTTGCTTAATGACACACATCTAGCCTAATCTGTCTGTCTAGCTATTTACCTTATTCTTAGGGCATCATAACATTTTATATGCTAAACTATTGATTGAGACTAATCTATTGCTTGACTACAATAAAATGTGCAGAAATGAACTCATCATCTTTCCCTTTGTCCCAGCTGGATCCTTATCTTACCTTAGCTTAAGTGAGCAGCTCATCAATAGAGCATGATAAGCTTATTTTTTATTATAGAAGAAAGCATTTAATATTTGTTGGTTTATCTAATTAAATGATCCCTTTTGGGCTTTCCTATTGCCATAGTAACTGTTTTAGTTTCTGTTTAAATACAGTCAGTTTAAATACATCATTTGGATGGCATATTTGCACAGGTCAACTCTTCATCGCTATCCCTAGTAACTCAGCTGGCACCATTATTTGCTTCATACTGTGCTTTGTGGTGGTGGTGTGTATGTGTGAGAGAGAGGGAGGGCGGAAGGGAGAGAAAGAGAAATGAATTTTGTCCAGGACTAACTGGAATTTAACAAAACTTAACCTGTGAACCTGGTGGTTTTTTGGTTTGCTTATTTACATTTTTCCTCCCCCTAATCTGCCTTTTGGGTTCTCTAGTAAAATGAGACACATATGTGTGAGGATTATCCAAGAATTAAAGACCAAAAGAGGGAAAATGGTAAAAACTTAATGAGATGAGAAAATGAGAAGCATATACTAAAAGCATCTACATAATTCTATATTTTGGTAATCTTCACATGGTTCATCTATGTACTATTTTGCAAAGAGTTTCTAGATTGTGAGATGATGGACCATTTGGCACAAACATGATAGACTTGAAAAAAATGGAATATTTGTTAGATAAGTTAAAAATCATCCTTTTGATGTAGTGACATTTGGTTTTGTAACAAACCCACCAAGTGAATTAAGTCTGTCGAGCCAGAATTGCTTTTCTTAAGAAAATACAAAACAAATTTCTTACACAATTTACTGACTGCTTGAGTTACATCATACGCAGATGTTCATTCTTTTCATTCTTCATTTTTATGCTGAAGTGTGTTGAAGAATAAAGATATAATACCAATTTCCATCCTGTTAATTTGACTTTTTCTTCAGAATTCTTTCCCATTCATATGAAAATAGGCCAAGTGTAGTTGCCAAAAAAACTGAACATTTTAATGATGCTATACATGTCAAGGGACAGAACTTGGCTTGAAGACATTTGAAAAATAATCCTATGAAAATCGATAGTTTCATTTAACTTTTTCTTCATGAATACAGAATTTACACAATGCTATCCTTTATCCATTTTGTCTGTAGAGATTCTTAGAAAAAAGAATGTATCAGGGGCTGGGAAGGTGGCTCAGTGGTAGAGCGCTTGCCTTGCATGCATGAGGCCCTGGGTTCGATTCCTCAGCACCACATAAGAAAAAAGAAAAAAGCCGGAAGTGGCGCTGTGGCTCAAGTGGTAGAGCGCTAGCCTTGAGCTGAAGAGCTGAGGGACAGCACTCAGGCCCAGTGTTCAGGACCCAAAAATAAAAAAAAAAAAAAGAATGTATCAGTTGAAAACATGTATATATAGTACGTAGGAAAAGGTCAACCATTTGTTTCTTAACGTGAGAGAAGTGGTCCAAACTGTTTCCTCTGCTAAAATATTAATCGAAACTACCCATTCTTTGTGAAGTTTTAGACAGGTGGGATAGTTGTTTATGTAATAATAAAACTCATTTCTACACTGCTGATTTATTTATAATTCAATGTGGATTAAATTAGAAGTAGAAGAAATATTTTTTGGCTTTCCACTAGTCATCCTTTAAAAAAATTGTATCTTCTCTTTTGGTTTGCATTCAAGGTAAAAATTAGTCAGCTTGGACAATATAGTGAAAAATTCTTAGAACAAGGATGCAGTTTGTCTAGAGAAGCATAGCTTTGGCAGATCTCAAGGAAAAATGTTTTATATGAGAAATCATTGCTTTAAATCTGAAAATCATTAACAGCAGTCATTTGTTCTTGTCATTGGAGAAAATTTTAAGGGTTTGGTTTGAGAAGTTTTGCTTTGCTACAGAGAAAACTAGAACAATACAAAAATATTTGTATAAAGCATGGTAAATACTCTTATTTTCTAAACCTTATTTCTATGTAATGGCTCAAGCAGATGAGAATGCTAACTGGGAAAAAGAACATAGCTTTTAAACTATGAAAAAATAAGCAAATTGTTGCAGTATGATCTTACTTCCTATTAAGTAAAATAGGATATTATGGTTAGTTTTTGTAAAATCCTCTAGTCATTCCGTGGGATTTATAAAAACTTGCCCTTATAATACAACTTTCTCCTCTTTCTCTTTTAATTTTCAGTTTGAAATAATCAGAGAACTAGAGGTGTAGCTCAAGTAATAGAGCACCAGCCCTTAGCAAAAAAGCCATGCAAGGGCTAGGAAGGTGGCTCAGTGGTAGAGTGCTTGCCTTGCATGCATGAGGCCCTGGGTTCGATTCCTCAGCACCACATAAGCAAACAAACAAACAAAAAACTTGAAGTGGCACTGTGGCTCAAGTGGTAGAGTGCTAGCCTTGAGTTGAAGAGCTGAGGGACAGCATCTAGGCCCAGAGTTCAGGCCCCATGACCAGACCAAAAAGAAAAAAAAAAGCCAAACAAGACTGCAAAGCAGTACTGGCACAAAAGTTAAATTGAAAAGTAGAGTAAAATGTAAATTAAAATGAAGTTAGGTTAAGACAAAGGGAATCTTTATAATCTGCAGTATTACCTTCTACCTCTCTGAAAAAATATATACTATCTTTTGTTTGTTTGTTTTCCCCCATTAGTGGGGCTTGAATTCAGGGCCTGAGCTTTTTCACTAAAGGCTAGTGGTCTACCACTTTGAACTACAGCACCACGTCTGGTTTTCTGGTAGTGAATTGGAGATAAGATTCTCATGGACTTTTCCTGCCCAGGCTGGCTTTGAACCTCAATCCCCAAATCTCAGCTTCCTAAGTAGTTAAGATTATAGGCATGAGCCACTGGCACCCAGCTTTTTGTTTGTTTGCTTGTTTTTGCTTTTTGTTGGTCATTGGGCTTGAACTCTGGGCCTGGGTGCTGTCCCTCAGCTCTTCAGCTCAAGGCTAGCGCCTCTTGAGCTCTATAGTGCCACTTCCGATTTATTGGAGATG